TAATTGTATTATTGTAAGTAATTTTTGTGTGTGTGTGTGTGTGTGTGTGTGTGTGTGTGTGTGTTTTACCCGCCTCTGTTGACACGTGGGCTGGCACTTTTTTTTATGATGGACATAGCGGCAGGGCTTTTGGACATAGTGGCAGGCTTTTGGACATAACGACAGGGCTTTTGGACATAGCGGGACGCCTCTATGTCAGACACAGCAGCAGGGCTTTTGGACGCCCGGCACTGTGTCTGCCATAGAGGCGGGATGCCTCAGTGTCGGACATAGTGGCAGGGTGGCTTTTGCCTCTAGCACCGGAAAGCCACCCTGCCGCCCCGGCGCTAGAGGCAAAACCCACCCTGCCGCTATGTCTGACATAGAGGCGTCCCGCCTGTATGGCGGACACAGCACCGGGGCTTCCGAAAGCCCTGCCTCTGTGTCCGACATAGGGCGGCTTTTGCCCGCTTGCCTCACCAGCCATAAAGCTCACCGCACGTCACTGCCAAACACAATGTTCTAATATTTACATATAGTAAAGCCATAAGGTTGTTTTCCTTTTAAACTCAATTATACCATGTTACAAAGATGCAAAAGCTCTGAATACTTTATCATAAAAAGGTAAGTTTTTATAAACATTCAGTCTCTAGATTAAGGTAATTTAACTCTAAAAATAAAAATCGACAACATTGTGAGATGAGTGACTATATAAATTTAATAATAAATGAAAATAAATTACACATTGTAAATGTGTTTTCTACATAACTTTATAAACTATACATTGCCTCCCTTCCAAGTTATGAATGCTATTACTTCAGAAACTAAAAACAAAGCCAAAAAGCAATTTATGCTACAGCCTATGCCAGTGATGGCTAACCTTTTTCTAAAGGTGTGCCAAAATTGTGTGTGCACAACCTATTGTGCACCCATGCATGTCCACTCACTTGCGCATGTGTGCATGTCCCCCCATGCATGTGAGGGCCCACTGCATGAGGGTAGTTTTTGCCCTCCCAAGGCTCCGGAGGCTTTCCTGAAGCCTGGGGAGGGGGCAAAAACAGCTTCCCCTGGCCCGCTACTGTAGAAGGCCAAAAATCAGCTGGCCGGTACCCTAGAGCTGAGGGCTGCTGCGCCAGCAAATATGGCTCCACATTCCAGCTGTGGCACCCGTGCCATAGGTTTGCATCAAAGGCCTATGCCAATTCATACTCAACAGTAACTATTTTAAAAAAAAGTTTCTTTAATGTCTAGTTCTGCAATCACAGTAGTCAGCAATTGGCTGTTTTACTTGATAATCATTATGGCACAAATAAATGGCAATTGAAGAGTTACAGACATAATTGCTGGTAATATATACTGAACTCACACAGTTTTGGGTATAATTAAAAATTACTAGATAGTTTTATGAAAAAAAGTTCCCATTTAAGATAGGAAACCAAACGTGAAATCATCATTAATATTGCTTTCACAAAGCACCTATCAGAATATTTTGAAGTAGTTGCTTCATAGTGTTTCTGACAGAGGCTGGATTTATATCCCTGCTTGTTTCACTTCTTTGTCTCTAAAGTGCTGCAAATCTTTCTGTGTCTGGATTTGTTTAAGGACAAAACCACTTCCCTTCTGGATGACAGCCAAAGCCTGTGTAATTCAACAGTCAGTTTCCTGTGACTATAGTCACAGCCAAAAGCCAGACATTAATAAAATGGCTTTCCTCCCACTTGTTAGCATTGGGAGGAATATTGTATCCTGAAGATACATATGACAGATACATCTATCTATCATAGCTAATTAAAATCATAAAATCATAGCCATTAAAAAGCGAAAGTTAGAATATTTTAGACATGTGATGCGACACCCAGAAAAATATGGCATACTTTACTTAATCCTCCAGGGAAAAATTGAAGGTAAGCGTGGTTCAGGCAGAAGAACAACAGCATGGCTTCAAAACCAAAGGGACTAGTTTGGACAAAGCTCGGCAACACTTTTTCATGCGGCTGTTGACAAAAATAGGATTGCCAACATGATCGCCAATGTCCGATGACAGATATGGCAGAAGAAGAAGGAGGAGGAAGAGGAGGAGATGATGATCATAGCTAAATAAAATGGAGAGTTCATGTTTCTTTGCTTCCATGTTTCTTAGCAGATTTGCAATCAAAAATTTTTTTTTAACACAGTGATGTTTGTATTTTAATATGGTGCAAATGGAGCTTAAATTATATATTGATTTATTTCTGAACTGATTGCTGGAATGTATGTGTCTCTCAATCTCTTAAATGGCTCCAAATAGTATTGCCAGCATTTAGCAATGTTGTCTACTAAATCACCGCTCTATTTGTTCACCTTTATCCCACACTCATCCTAAATTCCATTAAAGATGTTACCTAGCCTGTTAACGAAATGTTCAGAAACCAACCCACAAGCTCAGAGAAAGAACCTCTACCCACAGAAAACCTAATGCCAAGAAAGACAAGGATCTCAGGAATTTTGGAAGGCTGTTAAAAAAGAAGAGTATTTCAATGAAAATTGAATGGAACTAACATGAAAACAAAAAAATCTTCCAAAATATTTTTGAACTCAGAAAGAGTTTCCAACTTCAAATTTGTATACTAAAAGATTTAACTGACTACAAGCAGATCAACCAACAATAGTATACTGAAATTCTGCATAATAGAGATATCTTAGAAGATATTACCTATTTGTAAGAATTTCTAGTACTAGACAATGAAGTCAAATTAGGAGTCTTCACTGCCAATTTGGAAGGCTACAAGAATTGATTATATATTTACAGAAATATTCAAGCAGCAAAAGAAGAATCATTGAAGATTCTAACCAAACTGTGCCAGCCAATCTGGAGAATGAAACAGTGGCTAACAGACTGGAATAGTTCAGTCTACACACAAATACCAAAGAAAGCAGACTTGCCTGAAAACTATCATATGTCCTTAACTTCACATTCTAACAAAATAATACTTAGGATGATGCAATAAAGATTGGAGCTCATGTGATAAGAGAGAAAACCAAATAATCAAGTTGCTTTGAAAAGGTCCAGGAACAAGAAACACTATTGCTGGTGTATTCTGGATAATTTGAAAAACCTAAAGAATACAAAAAATAAATCAATATGTGCTTAATTACATATAAAAAGGTGTTTGATTGTATTGATCGTGTCAAACTTTGAAATATGCTTAGAAAAATGGGAATGCCAAAATATTTCATTGTCCTCTTACAAAACCTATACACTAGACAAGAAGCCACAGCCTTGACAGAATAGCAGTAGCACTTAGACTTATATTCTGCTTCACAGTGCTTTACAGCCCTCTCTAAATGGTTTACAGAGTCAGCATATCGCCCCCAACAATCTAGGTCCTCATTTACTGACCTCGGAAGGATGGAAGGCTGAGTCAACCTTGAGCCGGTCAGGAGCGAGCACCTGGCAGTCAGCAGAATTAGCCTGCAATACTGCATTCTAGCCACTGGATTACCACGAGAGAGATTGGCTTCCCATTGGCAAAAGACTGAAACAAAGCTGTATACTCTTTCCTTATTTAATCAACATATATGCTGAATATATATTGAAGAAAGCAGGATTGAAAGATAATTGTGGGTTTAATACAATAATCTATCTGTGTTATGCTAATGACACTACTAGTGATCTGCAGGCTCTAGTAATGTTAAGTCACAGAATACAGTGAGAATATAAGACTAAATAAAAAGATGGCCCAGCTAATGGTCTGGTGCTGTTGTTAAGGCACCTGGCTAGAAATAGGGAGGTTCAACTCCCAGTTCAAGTCCTGCCTTTGACATAAAGCCAGGTGGATGACCTTGTTATATTAGAAAGTAGACACTATCTGTATGTCCTGAATGGTGACATTATGTTTCATAAATTCTTTGATGTTTATGCAAATATCACTGAAACATCTTTATGCAAATTTATTTATAATTTCAGCTACTTAAGCTAAAATATTCAATTAATTCTCAAATGCCAGCAAGCCATAGATTGAAATACTTTCATACTATCTAGAGTTGAACTGTGACTGTTGGTTCTTTTTAAATTCCCCTGTACCTTCTGTTGTAGTTTCATTGTATTTACCTCCCCCCTCCCTTTGGGTTTGTGAGCTGCCCTGAGTCCCTCAGGGAATAGGGCGGCATATAAATAAAATGAACCTCGAACCTCGACCTGGAAAAATGATTTATGATGCTAGTCATTATTCATTAATGTTATATTTTATCTTTGTAAGAAACCAAGTAAAAGCTTCTTGTCTACCATAGACAAAAGTTGTGGCGTACACTTCAATAATAAATGATTTTTTTCAGAAATTCCACGTGTCCTGAAGAAATTGGAAAATAAGAGCAATCGATATGACTACTGAACAACATGCTTTCCATCAGTTTCTGTATTTTTTTTTTACCATTTTGATATTCAAGATCTCAACTGATACAAATAATTATTTGCACAGACATAACTCATGAGAAAATCTACCATCAGACATACCTACCAATGAAACCTGACGAAGGAGGGTTGGGTTGTATTTTCTCTTTAGTGTTCTCCTGAATAATATCCCAGAGCTGCCATATAAATTTTGGATGAAGAATGTAGAATGGCTGGTTTGGATTCTTACTGCGATACTGTACATATGGAGTAAACAAGTTGTAGTCTGGATTCTTATACCACTAGCAGGGAAAATAAAAAAAAATATTAGAGTACTTAGCATACACCAAAAATTACCTAAAGTATCACATTGTCATCTTGGTAAATATGAGTGCACCTTGGTGTATAGCAAGCAGAAGCAGAATGCTACATCTTTGACTTAAAAAGCTATCACTATTTTAATCACTATTAACTACCAATAGTCCTTACTTAATGACCATTCACTTAACAACCATTCAATTATGTTGTCCCCCACCCCCCTGAAGTTACTTACAACCCATCCTCAAAATTATAACAGAGCACAGCCACCCTGGGGTTGCCTGGTGACATTTTGGGCACTTGGTTGAATTTAGAACAGAATGAGCATCCCATAGTCATGTGACTGTGATTTGCGATGTTTTTGCCAGTTTTTCAACAACATTTGCAATGTTTTTGTCAGTTTTCCAGCAAAAAAACCTCATTCATTCAGAATGAATTTACTTAATTACCTCATGGTTTGCTTAATAACCACACAATTTGCTTAATGACATAGTCACTCACTTTATGACCATTGTAAAAATGGTCACAAAATAGGTCATGTGACAGCTCAATAACTTAAAAAAATTATGACAAAAAATCAAGGGTTCAGTTGTGATAATTAAATAAGGACTACCTATATTTTAGATAGTTTTGATACAAAGGGCAGCAAAATGAGTAGACATTTTGACATACTTTCCAGATAATTGTAGAATATAAACAAACCCTTTGACTGAGATGGTATAAAACTCCTGCCTTGAGCAGGAGGTTGTACTAGAAGACCTTTGATTTTATGACTTTAAGAAAATGCTGATAAAATTTGACACTATACTTTACAGCAAGAATATAGTATTTTATTCTCTATTGGTGCAAGATTCCGTTATTTGAGTTTGTAATGCTATCATGCAAATGGGTAAGGCAGAAAATTGCCCGGATATGACAAATTACTTTGCATATTTACAATTTCAGCAAACAGCAATCCCAACTGCAGCATTTTAAAGATAGTCCTTGTTTAAAATGGTAAGTGGGGCTAGAATTTCCATTGCTAAGTGATGGAGTCATAAAGCATGTCACATAACGATATGCCTTATCAATCCCTGCAGTCGCCAATCCTGTTGTTAAGCAAGGTCTTCATGTGATTGAACTTGTGTCTTCCTGCAAGATTTCACAAAGTCACATGCCCAGAGTGCTCTCAAGCAGGCCAGTGGGTGAGTGAGTGCTATGGAGTAAGCTGAGTTGGGGAGGAGATACTATGGCATGATTGACATGTGAACTTTATACAATATAGCTGGGAGGGTACGTCTGGCATGAATTACTATGGAATATGAAATTCCTGAGATTTCGTGCTCTATAAGAGGATCCTTGGGAGAAAAAGGGACAGGAGTGACTTATGATCTTCCCCACCAGCTTCTCCATTGACTTTGCTTGTTCACATGTCTGCAGGGCTCTGCAACATTTGGAAGTATGAGGCCAGTTGCCAAGTACCCGAATGCAGTCACATGACCATAGGTGTGCTACAATGGCTAGAACTTTGAGGGCCAATCGTAAGTACCACTTGTTCAGTGTTCAGTGCAGTGGTGGGATACGACCGGTATGGCCCAGTACAGGCGTACCAGTGCCTGCTGGGAGCACCAGGTACCGTTCCGGTACGGTGTTCCGGAGGGTCCACCCACCCTCCTGTATTTGAGCCAATTGGGGCTTACACGCACGGTGCCCTGTGCGACGCTCCGCCGAGCAGCTGGAGCATCGCAGGCGGTAAGTATGCATGCACCCGCTGTGCAGGTGCATGTGGTGGACGCCCGGCCCCATTGCACCGTACTGGTTGCATCGGGATCCAGAACCCACCACTGGTTCAGTGCCACAACTTTGAACAGTGGCTGAATGAATGTAGACCAAATACAAGAGTGGACAATTAGTACGGAAAAAGTATGATGAGGAGGTTTGGGCAAATAAAATGAATGAAGCCTGAGCTGCAAAAGAGATACATGAAGGAAAAATACATGGACTGCAAGGAAAGAAAAGTTCAAGAAAGTTTTGGCTGAATTTCTATCCTAAAAAAGGGAAAAGTTTAAAGAAACTCAAGGCACAGTGTGAAGCATGGTGGAAACAAGTTCGATAAAAGAATGAATGGTGGTATTTCATTATCATGCCTTTTTTGCCGTCTATTTCATTGTTTCTTTTTTTGCTTACTCTTACTCCTTTTCTAAAACTTTGCTTATCTTGAAAAAGAATAGTGAGATACATAGAAAATGTTCATAAATGTGTGCACGTATGAATCAGAAAACATTTGAAAAAAAATGGAAATACAGAGAACTCCCCAAAGCTAGATATTTAAAAAAGTCCAATTATGTACTTACAAATCTTTGGGTTAGACATTTTCTGCTCTGCTTATGCATTTCAATGAAATATGAAAAACAACATTGCTTTTCAATATTTTAAACATTCAAATCTACACCCCGTAAATGGTTTAACAATTCCTATCATACATTCAGTTTTGGCAAAAGCCCTGAAGAAGACTGTGATGTTCATTTCTTTTTAATACAGAAAGTACACAGTGGTGTCAACACAATAACTTATGACTTACCTTATCTAAATTTGAAGAATAAGGAGCAGGATCCCAAGCCACTAAAATAACATCTTTATACAAGGAGTTACCGACGAAATGATAATTAGGATTAGTAAGAATCTGTTAAATGCAAAGAAACACACATCTACTAAAAATATTCCAAACTTTATTTCCCTTTTATGTTCTTACCATTACCTGGCAGTTTAGCTTAAAAAATAGCGTTAAAAAAATACCCCAAAAATCCTCCCAAAAAATCCTTCAGTCACCAGGTTTAAATGTCTCCCCCCACTTTTGAAAAGAAACTTTAAGTACCCTTATATACTCGATATGTAGAATAGCACTGTAGAGAAGGTAAATGTTCTCTTTTCACTTTCAAGGAAGAAAGTAATAAGAGAGAATGGCTGTGCCAAAGAGCATGCTTCTGTCTACATAGAAGCATACCAGTTTTTTAAAAAAATTTCTGTGTAGGTTTCAATTAGTAATTGTCACTGTTAAACTACAACAGCTAGAGATATGTTTACAACTGTTCCAGTATCCTGCAGTCACATGATTGCTATATGTGTGCTTTACAACCTACTTCTGAAAAGCAGCGTCCAAACGAACTGGCAGTCATTGATGCCTCTTTAATGATATGATGATTTGCTTAACTATGGAAGCAAAAATGATGTTGTAAGAGCAGCGTGGTCATGTGAAGTTTCCCTTAGTGACAGCAGCACTTAGTGATGTTGTTGCCGAAGCCCATTGGGGTTGGTAAGCGAAGACAACCTGTATGCTCAAGTGTGGTGAGATCCCATGCAAAAAAAGTAGTGTCATTCTTTAGCAGACATAGGATACTGCAGGCATGGAATATTTTCCAACAAGTATTTAAGAAATAATTATGGCCTGAGGAGGGGGGAATTTATTAGCTGCAAGTCATAGTTAAGAAATATAAAATTCAAAATGCATAGAAATAGAAGTTTGTTTTGAAGTGAATAATGTACCTACCACAAGAGGGTGCTGCAGGTTTTTTTGTTTAAAAAAGCGAATTCATTCTGTTTGATCCTGAATCTCTAATTATTTACAGCTCTTAGCTTCATTCCACACTCTACAACTTTGCTAGTTTATGTCATCTCTATTTTATCTAGTTCCCGTGAGTTCTTATGGTGTAACAGTCTGAATGTTTAATGCTAGTACAGTATATACTAAAATCTATATCCATTCTATCCGATATCCACATTCTATGGCATTTTTAAATTTCAAAAATTCAATTTACTTCTGCACAAAATATCTTTTTAACTAATTTAAAATATCTTTCTCCAAACCATCTTTGCATGCATTTTTAAAGATAAGAATTACATATCTGGAAAATTATACAATCCAAAAGATCTGTCCTGATTATTTACCCAGGAAGCATACATTTATACATCTAAAATGCAGAAAAAATGAAGTTGTATACTCAAGATACAATTTATAAACAATGACATAATAAAAATGATAGGGACAGATTAATCAACAAAGCCACTGAGTCTGGCTTTCCTGTTTATTTTCCTCTTCTGTTTTTTTATGTGATCCCTAGGATATAAAATCCCCCCCACCAAACACATACTGTATTATGAAGCTCGAGGCTTATTATTTACAATCCTACTGTAACAGAATTTTACACTGTAGCTAATAGATATGCTGGTTGATGATTATCAAATATCTAAGAGCAACAATCCATTTTTGATTAATAAATAAAACATGAGTTTATTCGCACAATAGAACGTAATAACTTAGATTATACATTTTAAAATTATGTTTATGAGTCACTAAAGAAATTCTGTAGAGTATGTGGATGGTGATAGATAAATATAAACGTTTAGAAATGTGTTTATTAAGTTTCATATTGCTTATAAAAGGTCAATATCTCCTAGAAAATGATATATATTTATGGATCTTCAACAGATTTACCTGGGAATTAATGATGCGCATTGTAGTTTTATTTCCAACATCTTTTTCATAACCTTTTGTTGGAGCAGAATTGAATCGCAGAACTGCATCATGAGAATCTAGTGTGAAAAGAGTTACGTTTATTTGGGGTTTTATACATGTGCAATCATACAGATGCTTACGTAAAAGTAGATTCCACTATATTCTAAATGGATTTTAATATATATAATACAATATTTGTATTATGCACAAATATTTTCTACTATATTCTCATTTTTTTCTTTTAATGACCCTGTAATCCCTTGCATCAGGATGGAGCCGAGGCGACTGAATGCAGCTGAGCTTTTACTGGCTGGATGCCCTTCCTGACACCTACATGGAGCTCACAGCAGATATGTTCTCTTTGTGCCCAGAAAGAGAAATATCTGCTGCTACCTAGAATCAAACTCACAACCACTTGGCTGTGAGGCTACACATCTAGGTCACCCCATCACTCATTTTCTATTATATTCTACTGTAATATTTAAATCCACTCAAGACTTAGTACAAAGAACAGTCTAAACCAAAACAAATATTTAAGCTTTTAAAATTTGTATGGAAATGTGAGCAGTCCATGTGAACAGAAATTTCATTAAGCTTTTTAAATTAGAACAGAAAAATTAATAATCCATGTAAATATGATTCTATTGTTATATATAATTCTTTTCACAAAGAGACAATAAATGCAAATACCTAGATGCAGAATTAGTTACACTTATTATTTCCTTTTTTTTTACCATTGTTTTAAAAACTGTGCTCTGAAGAAATACTCAGTTGTAATGCAATTCCTAAAGTTTATATACTTTGGGTATTTTTATGCATTTTGTATATTTATCTTCAAATACATTTTGCTATGTCTTGGATTACTATGCCAACATTTAAATTATGAGAGCGTATAAATATACCCTGGCAATGTTTATTTCTTCATCAGTTATTCGTACAATATTTTGCCATTCTTCTGTGAAACAATTCTATACTGCATTGATAAGCTCTGGAATTCTACATGGTAGGTATTGGCTAGATTGAATAGTAACTGAAAATTCTGTAATACTGGGAAAGATTGAAGGAAAGAGAAGGAAGCAGGAAGCTGGGTTGCCTTGATTGCAACAACAGTGGGTGCACAATTGTAAGAACCATAAAATCAAGCTGGGATCAGATTCTTCTTGAGAAAAATGAATGTGATCACCAAGGATTGTCACTGGCTTGATGGTACCCGATCAATGTAATGTAGCTGTTGGAAGAAGAATGTTCCTGTAATTGGGAAATAGGAAGAGAGTGTCAAAGCCAGGGCAATAGTAAGGTAGTAGGGTTAGTACTAATGGTTCTGGTTCTTGCTTGGACTACTTTGAAGGGCTTACAGTTCTATTGTGAGATACAAGTAGTTTTCCAAAAAGCTTTTTGTTCTATCATCATGTTGTCTCATTCATGGGATTTTATAAGGAGGTCCAGATGCTAGCATTTTCTATTTCCATGCCCTTTCTTTCATGTTTTGTCATCTATCATTTATCTTTTGCTCTCCCACAAAAAGTGAGAAAAAAGTAGATGGCATTTTTTTTACAAGTACCAACATAAATATGGTACAAAATTGCATATTAAACTTGTAAGATTTGAACCTGACTATGACAGCAAGCCCCATGAGATCTGATATAAAACAAGGATATCTTAAATAAGCAATAAAATTAAAGTGAACATTAGCAGAAAGAACATATGTACAGGCAAGAAGATAAAATATACATGCACTAAATCTTTTTTTGTCTTTTTCCTCTGTGTATTCCTTTCTCAGTAACTAAAGAAGAAATGAACAGTTGCCTCTATGTTAAAAAAACAGCAAAGAATTCAGCCAACAAAGGGTGATACTTTGTGAAGAAAAGAGAAATATGAAAGAAGTGAGTATTGTATGGATTGCCATTAGAAGAATCCATCTTAAATATTTTGCAGCTTATCTCATTATCTGCTAAGATAAATATATCACAAATGTGCTTTTAACATCTGAAACATGACAGATAAAATTATATGTACTACCATTATTGTTGCTGTCATTATCAGCCTGGAGGTATATAAGTGAAACTTTCCAGGGCAGGTAATAAGGAGTGAAAAGTTTAGATCTGGAATGACAGAACACTATTTTAACAGAGAGAAGAGGACGGGCAGGCACATGGGCTATGGGGTAGTGATAGGGGGAAGAGAATAGTGAAAATGTAACTTTCTATAAATGAAGTAACATTGGGACTCTACCAAAACAGAATAAGAGAACAGAATAATATGGGTCGCAATGAATTAGATATGACAGTGTGAGTTTCATAACTAACATTTGTTTGCGAAGTTATCGCTGCCTCAGATACACATATTTAGCTCATTATAGGTGCAACAGGAATATCTGACTAGAGGAGTGGGGGAAAGAAAGGGGAAGAAGAAAAGAAGGAGAAGAGGAAAGAAGAAGGTAGAGAAGGGAGGTTGAGAAGATAGAAGGAGTAGGGTTGTTGCAAGACAAGATGGAGGTATGGGGTCGCAAGAAAGTGACCCCAACTGGGTTCTCTATATTTGTAAGAAGATAGGGATAAATGTTAATAGTTAATAGATAAATGTTAATAGTACTTACAAGAATGTATATTTGTGAATGTATTTGAAAGGAAAAAATAAAAAAACTTCATGCAAAAAAAGAAAATCTGACTGGAAGCTTTCTGTATCCCCAGATCCCATAAGAAGCCAAGCAGGCATAGTAAAATAACTACAATAGAACACATATATTCCACAGAGAATATATTCATCTGCAATAACAGGGAAATAACCACATCAAGATATATACTTCCAATCATATTTGTTTATTTTAGACTAAGACTAGGTGTTATTCATACTATGGCTATTTCTCAGATATTACTATGCTCAAGCCTTTATTAGAAATACGTTTACTACAGCTAGTCCTCGATTTTCCATCATTCATTAGTGACTGTTCAAATTTACAATGGCACTGAAAAAAGGGACTTATAACTCAAGTTTATCACCATTGTAGAATCCCCAGTCATGTGATCAAGATTCAAGCAGTGATAACAGGCATGTATGCGCCAGATTTGCTTACTGCATGATTCACTAAACAGCTACAGTGATTTGCTTGTAGCAAAAAAGGCTGTAAAATTGGATGCAACTCACTTAATAACCACCTTGATTAACAAAGAAAATTCTGTTCCCAACTGTGGTTGTAAGCCGAGTACTATCTGTAATCTTACTAAATTAATGGAAAAGAAATTGCTTTTGAAGTTGTGTTGGAATGTCCTGTTTTCATGCTAAATGTTCTCTTCTGTAGTTTTCAGCCTCTCTGATCCCCATGTTTCAAAAGCATCTCAGAGAAAGACATTATGAGACAGCTCTCCACATGGGGATTCCTCAAATCAAGTAGGACAGTCAGGGGGCCACATCATAAGAGAGATTCAGGATGATATGCAGTACCTTCCACTGCTTCATAAAAATAAAGGAACCTCATAAGCATCACTAAAATAAATTCTGAGAGTGAGATACAAAACAGAAAGTTTTTTTTGTTCCCCAGAGGAAGAAAACTTTCAGGAAATTGGAAGAATTTTTTCCAGCCAAGTATTATTCAAGATGGTCTCTTCCATATGCAAGCTGGTATCTTTATTTGCATATATATAGGGGTGTTTAATGAATATTTCGAAGAGAGGGAAATGTGTATCACCACAGAGGCAAGAGAAACATTTTCAATAAAGGATGAGTCACAATGTAGTGAACATACTAAATAGAAAGGAAGATTCCAGGAGGTTATGCTTGAGACAAAACTGTTAATTCTGTTTAAATGACAAAGATTAGTGGGAAAAGTGGTACATGTATAATAAAGGTCATTGCTCTCTCAAAAGCCTTAAAACTAAACTTGGCTTAGAAAATGTTTTAATTAATGTATATTCAGCGAGTCTCCAAAGAATAGGGAGATAAAAATGAGACACTAAGCAACTACCATTGTAAAAAAATCTATTAACTTGAATTGTTTTATTTTTTCGCACTGTGAGAAAAGGGGGAAATTGTTAATCTTTTTCACAGCAGAAGTTTTCAAACCAGTAGGACTTCCCTTAATATTTGACATTACCCAGTTTTGACTTTCAGTGCTAGGACAGCATGGCTCTTATGCTGAGTAGAGATGCCTACTGAAGTAACTGGATAATGATAGCACTTTCAATGCTCACAAACATTTTGGTTTTTGAGAAAAGAATAGCAAGTAATAAGATAAAGAAGGATAGTTAAATGTAAAAATAAGAAAACATATTTAAGTACCCATAGCACAACTTAATATTTGTGAGAGCTAATAATAGAGAAACTTCTCTTTCTCTCTGTCTTGAAAAACACGTAGTGAAGGGTGAATGGAAACTGCTTGCACCATCTGGTTTAGATTCAGATTTTGCATACTTTTTAGTGGATTCAGACATGGCTTTGCATTATAGCAATAGCACTTAGACTTATATACCACTTTATAGTGCTTTACAGCCCTCTTTTCAGCCCTCTCTAAGCGGTTTTACAGAGTCGGCATATTGCCCCCAACAATCTTGGTCCTCATTTTACCCACCTCAGAAGGATGGAAGGTTGAGTCAACCTTGAGCCTGGTGGGATTTGAACTGCCAAATTACTGGCAGCCGATAGTCAGCAGAAGTGGCCTTCACTCTAACTACTGCACCACCGAGGCTCTAAAGAAAACTGTTTATATTTTAGATCTGCATAATTTATTTTGTACTGATAAAGAGTATTTTTCATGTCTGAAGTACAGTGCCTTATTGAGGTTACACATGGAATATTGCTTAAGAGTTTTGTCTTATAGATGTCAAGAGAAAACATCTTTCTGTGGCCACATGAGTTTATTAGTCAGGGGAATTAATTCATTACTTTTTCATCTCTCAACTTCTGATGTTAGCTAATTAACATTTTTTAACACTTGGCTTTCTATAAAAAAATAAGATACAGTTCAGTAAAAACAAATCCAACCTAACCCGTAGCCGTTTTGAAAACTGGAGAGGAGAACCAAAATGGAGGGGAAGGGAGGCAGTGCTACTTTAGATGCTTATTATTACTGTATGATATGATTCAAATATTATTAAATTATATTTAGAAAAACCTGTGGGGCAGAGGAAAATTCTTGGATTCCTTATTGGGAGAACCAAAGGTAGAGTGTCTCAAAGGTGTTTTTTTTTCTTCAAAAGGCAACTAAACAGTTTTTTCCTTGAAGAAGAAAACATTTTGCTTCTCACCCAAGCAATTTAATCAGTTCTGATAGCAGGGATGAAGCATCTTGGATAAGAAGTGAAACATTTTCCTCCTCAAGGAAAAAACAGTTCAGTTGTCCTTTGAAGAAAAATGCACCTTTGAAACAACTATGACCCGGATGACTGAGAATCTCCATAGACAAAAGTAGAGTACCAGCCTAAGAATTAAATCTGTTTAATTGAAACTGTTGGCTGATGCTGTTTTTGGTTTTTTTTGCACTGGAAAATCCAACAATGTGGAAATCTAATTTCACTAAAGCAAACAGTTCAAATTTATATCCATCGGGATTTAAAAATTAATAAAAAATACTACACATTTTTATATTAATATCATACTATCAATGATGAACATGTAGTTGCTGTAAAATTTACAATTATCAAGTGTTCTTAAAAAAACTAACAACAGCACTGCTGTTCTTCATCACCTTGGATTGCTTTAAAATTTACAGTTATGGACAACAGGTCAATTGATCTGGAGAGCTATAAGGCTGTCCAATGAACTATCAACAGCAGAAAAGAGAGCATGCTATCATCTGTGGTCTTTCTAGAGAGAGGTTTGGAGCACCATTCTGTAAAATAGGATACTGGACTATAAAGGTTTTAATCTATTCATAACATTGCTACTTGTAAGAGGTGAACATGCTGGGGGAAAAATTCAAATTTCCTTTAATGATCTTTGAATGCATTATTCCCCGCAAAACATGTTAAATCATCTTTTGGAATATATTATATTGTGAATTGTTAAAACAAGAACATGGAGACTATAAGATGAAGTCAAAAGACCAACTAACTGAGAAACGTTTCAATGGATCTCATTTGTATAGTTGACAGAAAGATCTAAAGAAGCTAAAAGGACATTTGGAATTGATGAACATAGGGCAGAATTTGAAATTGAATTATGTGATAATGTAATTGCTAAAACGTATAGATTTGAGACAGAAAAAGAAGAAGTGAAAGAGAATATGAGAAAATGGCTAAAATCTTTGGTTATATTATACCAATGAATAAATGCAAAAATGAAAGGACTGAAATTTACATTACATTACAATTTAAATGAGAACTTTTATAAGTTTCTTTTTAAGTATGTTATATGCAGAGAAATGACTATTTTGTTCATGACTCAAATTCATTTACTGACATTTAATGATAATAGAATAGCTAATAAATTGCTGTATTAACACTAATCACAATGAATATATTATATTTACTGATACTTTTATTGTAATTTCATATAGAGGGTTAAAAACTATTTAACCTTAATGTCCTTTCATACTTTCAAAAGTTTCACTTGTCTAGGAACACCACTGCCTGGGAACAGTACTGCCTGGGGTTTCCAGATGTTGCTGCTCTTTAATACCTGGCAGCCCCAATCAACTATGGTAAAGAATGCTGATAGCTGCCGTTCAACATCTGGTGGGAAAAAAGATTAAATGTATGATTTAGCCTTTACATAAAATCTGTTACTATAGTTAATTCATTGTTTAAACTTTTCTGCTTCCATATAGTAATGGAATTTTGCCCTAATTGACATTGCAGTGCTACTTGTAATTAAATGTATGATGTATCCAAAGCTGAGTCTCACTGACTGATATACTAGTTTAGTGGAATGTTACAGCTGTTTATAGTGTAATGGAACTTTGTGTGTGCATAAATCTCTCCAATCTTAACCAAGTTTTAAATGTGGCATTTCTATTTGAATTGAATAATTATTTGATAGAGAAAGAAGAAAACTAAAATAAATAAGAACTCTGTTTCATATGTTCATATAATCAAAAATATTAGAAACTGAGTATTCAATCTGGCTTGACAACATTTCCACTTGAAATGCATAATTCTCATTCAAGACATTTCTTCAGTTCAGAACTGAAGAACCTTCTTAGATGAGAAGCAAAATGAAAGAGAGTTCAGTTGCATTTTGGATGCAACTGGATGACTGAGAATCTCTACAGACCTCCTAATACATTGGTCCACAAAAGTATTTTTGGGGGTGGGGGGAGGAGTTGATAGAAAAGATCATATAAAAAGGAGAAAGTAAGCGCTGGAAGAAAAAAAAACTTCTCATAATACTTATACATTTGTTGTCTTCAAATGGAGACAATGCGTATTACTACTCAATACAGAGGAAGTATGCCTTACTATAGTGTCATTGGTAGAAAATAGCAATATGAAAAGATTGCTACAAAATGCTGTTCTGTTTAATTCCAGAAAAAGAATATGGTGGCCTCTATACAAAACAGGATGCTTTGGTCCAATCCACCCTTCTTTTACTTTATCTTATAAAGGCCAAAGAGTACAGAAATAGCCCACATGTGGTTATCTGGATTCCACCTACATACCAGAGTTCAAATAAGCTAAACATCTTTACCCACCTATTTCATGCCCCAGAGAAGAGTTCAGTATGGCACCAGCAGACATAACGACAGCACAGCTTCCAAATCCTCGAGGATATAATTTATTCAGTGAAGTTTGAGGGACATGTTTTTTCCAACCAAGGACTGAAAAGGGAGCTTCCTCGCCATCAATGGTTCTGATGTTTACACGTGCCTTGAGCTCACAGAAGAGTTGTTCTGAAGTCAGTTGGGAGTTTTGCTTCCCCCTGAACTTCACCCCATGCTTATTGGCATTCAAGTAATCTTTCATTGATTTCTGAAGGCGGGGATTCAGCATCTTGGAGGAGACATCCCCCCTCCAAAGCCTGAACAGGAACGATTTTGACATTGTGGTATAAATTTCATTCCATTCATGGGACTCTTCAACCAGTTCGCTTCTTCTGTGATTTATGTGTCTTTTCTTTATCTTCTTTTGAGGGAACCAAGAATTCTGTAAAATGTTCCTCTTCTGAACTTCCCCCTGTGCAGAGTTTAATTTCATTATTCGCTGAACATTATTTGATAACTGAGACTGACCAGCAGTAAATAAATAATCACCATTCCTCTGATGAAAATTACTTTTGGATTTTCTTCTTAACTGAGAAGGAAAAAATTCTTCACTTTCAAAACTATTATCTAAGCCAGTCCACTTTTTTATGTTCCCACTCTCTGACTTAAATGAATCTAAGACATCTTTGTTGAAGAGCATCTCATTGACTGTTTCGGAGAAGGGTGGGTCATGAATTGCTCCCATGATAACTCTCTGTTTGCCTTGAATAGGCAAGAGTCTTTTAGTCTCAACATACGAGAAGGAACTAGGAACTGCATCTGTGGTGTTGCTATCGGTGAAATATATGAAGATAAATAGGAACAGGAGGCCCCAGGCAAATATTCCAAACAGCATGACTTGTTTCCATTGTTTCAGATTGGGTTTCATGGCAATGTTTGTGACTCTTCCTCTGTGCCTTGAGGGTTTTATGAAAAGAAGTAAGACCTGGGGAAAAATATAGTATTAATGAAACTTTTGAAATATTCACATGATAGCAAAGAAGCAATCTATTTTTCAGAAAAAGAAGAACTCTAAATGTGATGATTCTGAACAACCTATACCAATACCATGCTACTCTTATTGTAAGATAGACTGCTTTTCTCTACTAACAGTTCAGTCACATACCGTATTTTTCAGACTATAAGACGCACCGGAGTATAAGACGCATCAAGATTTTGAAGAGGTAAATTAAAACGGGTCTGTTTTTTTTGCAAAAAAGAGGGCATGCATAGGCTTTGGCAGGCTTGTAGAGTGCTTGTCGGACCTGGGTGGAGGGGAAATGGACTTTTGCTCATTTTTGCCCTCACTGGCTCCCAGGAGCACTTTGCAGGCCTCCCAAAGCCAATGCACATCCCGTTTTGCAAAAGGGGCGGGGTTTCTGGAGGCCAAAAATGCTGTATTCAGTGTATAAAACACACCCAGATTTTCACCCTCCTTTTTTGGGAAAAAAAGGAAAAAATATGATATAACCATCAGTCCCCAGTAAAATGTAATTTTATGCAATAAAAATTGTATGTAATAAATGGGGGTGGGCTTTTTATTTCATGGATTTTTAATGTTGTAAGGCTCCTAGAGTCACAAGGTGTGACTAGGGCAGCCACATAAGTTTTTTTAAATAATGAAATAATTATAAGAGGCTGCTACAGGTCAGGGTGAACCTTTTGACATCTGTCAGTTTGTCCAGATAGAAAATTACTATCCTTTTTCACTGAGGACTATTTTGTTTAATCCAATTCTCAAAAAGAGAAAGGCGTGACAGAGAACTTTAAAAAACCTTGTGATAATTTTAAAACACATCAGACACTTAACATAATCAGACAGTCTTGCATTTAGGAAAGTTTTTAATGAACAATTATTTTGTTCATTAAATCAGGACAATCTATAGTTATAAAATATATTTACTGGAGAAAGGGAAATAGAAATGTAAATTTAAGAAAACACACACACACACACACAAACAAAATGGTCAAATCTAGCTAAATTAGATATTATCTTCTTGAATAAGCTTGTAGGGTTTTTTTTAAAGTACATATTCACTGCAGAAAGAATGGTTGGAGAAAGTTTATCTGGGCATTCTGATTGGTTGCTCCTCATTAATTTCTTTTGAATGTATATCCTCAGTTTTATACATTGGAGGAGAGTTAAATAAAGTGAGAGCCAATTTCTCTGGGGACCCTAGTGCTTAACTGAATCAAAGACAATGCTCTGTGTATGATGCCCTGAGTCTAGCCAACGGCTAGAAATGATCTAGTAGACTAAATCTATTACCCTAAAGACCTCTGCTGCAGAGGTGGGATTCAAATGGCTTGGTGAGCACGGCCAAACTATAAAATCTCCATTCCCAACCCACTCCAGGGGAAGGATACTGCAAAATATCCATTCCCTCCTGATCAGAGGCAGAGAATAGATGGGGGTGGGGCCAGTCAGAGATGGTATTTACTGGTTCTCCGAACTACTCAAAATTTTCGCTACCGGTTTTCCAGAACTGGTCAGAACCTGCTGAATACCACCTTTGCTCTGCTGGAATTGTACACGAATGGTCTTGTGTCATCAATTCTTTTCTTCTATCAATGAGAAAGATCCTTTAGGGAAAGCTGAATTTCATTTATTCAGCATTGGCTTATTTTAGAGGACTCTGCTGTGTCATTATTAAACCATGGCCAGTCAACTACTGCAGAATTACACAATGTCTAGTAAAATAAAATGGTTTTACTTAGTAGTAAAGAAGATATGTAATACAATCTATGCGTATTTACTAAGTAATGGTTTTTTTATAATTGATTGAGACTTTATTTCAGGTGCTAAAGATCTGGAAGAACTAAAATATGCTAATGGGAATTTAATGTACTGATATACTATATCATGAGAGGATCATCAATGCAATCTAAGACATTAGCTCAAATTTTGTACAGATTCAAGACAAATATGGACCTGACATGTAATATTTAAACATTTTTGGGGTGCTTATTTTACTACATAATCATGTGCTGTTATCTTTATCCCTTCTACATACCTATTTTTTGAAAGGTGAGGATAAGATGGCGTCCTTATCTTACAACAATGCTGAAAAGTTGTGAAGCAATCTTATTAAACAATTAAAAGCTCTATATAAATAGTACAATTAATGATATTACTTGCACTTAAATTGCAATATAGCAAAGTCACATGACAGTTAAGAGTCCCAGAACTGATCACTATTTACAAAGAGCATTCTCTGTTGAAACGAGTCTTATTTTTTCCTTTGAACATTTATAAACAGCTGAGTGTAGCCCCTCTGTTTAATCTATTATTTGTAACAAAAGGTACACAAAGGTTTCTAAACTAGATCTCCTTCTATTTATTATGGGAGAACTGAATGGAAGGGTTTCAGGACAGAATAAGAAGCTTCCATGTATATACCTAGACAAACATATGCAATATACTACTTAACCTCAATAATTTTGTTTACATATAACAGAAATGGCAAGAAGTATGTTGATTATAAATGATGGCTGTATTCTGATGTCACTTTAAGGTATGATTCATTTATTGAATGACCATAGCTGACCAAGAAAACACAAAATACTAGATCATCGATAGCAAGACCCCCAAAGGTCCCTTCCAACTCTGTTATTCTATTCTAAAACATGGTTAGTAGAAAATTGGTGCAAAAAATCACATAAATCTCCTGTATAAATCTCCTGTTTTGATTAATTCAATTAAAAATTCAACAGTGAGAAAAGCCAGCCAGTTAAGTTTCAAACAACTGCTACTTGGATTACACTGGCAGCAAAAATGGAGAAAACAGTAGGAAAAGGAAACAGAGAACCTCACAAATTCAATCATTTTTTTTCAAAGATACAATGAAGAAAATACAGAATTTCATAGAAGAAAATATTATCAGGAACAAAATGAAGCACATCATTCAAAGGATATTTACCTTTACCTGTCAAGATTTTCCTATGGACCAAAAATATCAATGAATCACAAAAAACTGCTGAGGTTTTATGGACAAAAACATTTATCTCAATTAGTGAAGGGGCTAAGAGAGCAAAGGATAGCCATTTTCATGTCACCTTGGCCTCTCAAACTGGTCAAAAGTTACGGTTAGGTTCTGTGGTCCTTGCTTCTGGTTTCCAGTTTCAACGGGTGAAGACCATTGCAAAACACCTGAAAACAAGTCATAAGGGTACACACCCTACCCCTGAACTCCCCCAACTCCTGGACCAACGCTAGGGTGGGAACCTGGCTAATCCTGCAAAACCTCCTAAAACAACAGTTCAGGTAAGATCAAGTGTCATTTTCTGGAGGAATTTTGCAGGATTAGCCAGGATTGGGACATACCCAAGTTAACGTCCTTCGGGGAGGGCACTATTGGTCCTGGGCTCCTCATGTGCTACCACCTGTTGTAACACCCTATGACCAAATGCTGCATCAGCCGATGCAAACCTGTCTAACCTGTAGTGCCTGATAAAGGGAGATGGGGACACCTACGTAGCTGCCCTGGAAATCTCCATGATAGGTGCCTGTGTGGCCCAGGCTGCCGAGGTAGCCGCACTCCTGGTGGAGTGTGCTGTGATGCCCTGGGGCACTGGAAGGTGCTGAACGTCATAGGCCAATGCGATGGCCAGTTTGATCCACCTCCCTATAGCCGAGGAGGACACCCTCTTCCCCAAGGAAGACGGATAAAAGGAAACAAAGAGTGCCTCAGACTTCCTGAGAGCCTCCGTGCACCTCAGGTAAATGTGCAAGGCACACCTGACATCCAGCCGGTGCCGAAGGCGCTCCCTATCAAGAGACAGGTCCAGACAAAAATCCAGTAATACCACCTCCTGTGATCTGTGGAAAAGGGAATTAACCTTGGGAATAAAGGTCAGATCCAGTCACAGGATGACCCAATTATTGCGGAATGTACAAAGACCCGACCTGGAGGACAACGCCCCCATTTCAGAGATGCGATGGGCTGAGGTGACCGCCACAAGGAACACTACCTTAAGGGTTACGAACTTCAGGTCAACCGTCCTCAGAGGTTTGAATGGTGCTCCTGTCATTGCTTGGAGAACCGTAGTGAGGCTCCATGTCAGAAACCTGTGGACAACCGGTGGACAGAGATTTCCCACACCTTTCAAAAACCTCTTAATTAACGGGACCTGGGAAAGTCCCAATAATTGTGGAGAGGGCCACCACCTGTCTCCTGAGGGTGCCATGTGAGAGCCCCTTGTCCAATCCATCTTGGAGGAACTCCAAGACGTGCGATACCGAAGCCTCACAAGGATTTGCTCCCAGGCACCACTCTGCAAAGACCCGCCAGGTGGAATCATAAATCATAAAGTGGTGGAACTCTTGAGCATGAAGCCTCAACTGTGGAGATTACCCTCTGTGAAAGCTGGGCGGCCCTTAGGTGCTCCTGCTCAATCGCCACATGGTTAGCTGCAGCCACTGTGGCTCAGGATGCACCAGGTTTCCCTATCTGAAGTCCACATCCCTCTCCGGGATCCTCCACAGGTGTGACACTGATAGGCACATTAGGTCTACAAACCACGCCTGGCGTGGGAGGGAGGAGCCAATGTTGCAACGATATGGTTGTGCGGTCTCAATGCTCTGAGACCACAGCCAACACTTTTGCCAGTGGGTGGTCCAAACGGACCTAAACCGTCCCAAAGTGATGGTGAACAGGAAGAATGCATCTTGCTGAT